GTGTATATTCTCTTTCTTTGCTTCCAGTGAAGATCTCGAGGCCTCCGAAGCAGGGGTTAGATGATTAAGGGAAAGCACCTTGGTCAGTAGGGTTCCATTGCTCCTTGAGTTCCCTGGTTCCATAAGCTCACAGCTGCCCTTCCTGCCCTCAGAGGAGAGGAAGGCATGCTTGGGCCGCAGAGACAAAGCTACTGTGTAAAACCGTTGAGTTATATTTCATTTCTCTGCACATCAAAAGTGAGAGGTTGCTAACTGAAATTTAACTTTTGTTCCCTAAAAATAAGCTAGGGGTCCTAGGAAAAACATCACTTCTGACAGGAGACTCCCAGAAGGCTCAGGGGCTGTCCTTGTGCCACTGCACTTTAGGGACCCCCGCCCTCAAGTGTGACCCTTCCTCATCCAAGTGTCTGTCAGGTACAGGCAAGGCCTTGCCCACCTGGACCTGAGGCTTCTCAAAGTCACTCCTTCCTCTGTTCTCGTGGGGCCTCTTCCCCTGGGCACTGCCCTGGTTTCCTACCAGTCATGGGAGACTTTCTACCAGGCAGGAGATCCCCACATCTTGACCACAGATCTACTCTCTAGGGGGTTCCACCCAACATTTGGCTTCTTGGAATCCAGGCTGTCTTCTGTGTTTCTTGTCCAAAAAGCATGGCCAAAGAAATCATGACTATCCAATTTCCAGGAAATGCAAAGATGCCGTGAAAGCAGGCTTGGGGTCTTCTGCCCCCAGATCTGTGTTCTAAGCAGTGACTAGCTGGTCCCAGGGAGGGAGAGGGCCAAGCTGGAAGTAGTGAAATCAAAAGGGAAAGGGACTATGAAGTGTAGAGACTCGTTAACTAGCGATGGGAAAGATTTCAGTTTCTGTTTCTTGACTTCAGTGGGGATTGTGGTGCTAGCACATTAAATGCGAAGAGGAAACTAGGAGGGTGGAATGAGTGGGCAGCCTATTGCAGCCTGCAAGGGGGCGCCTTTTTGGGCAAGCTTTCACGCTGAGGGCTGGCTGGGTGGCGTCCATCAGAGGCCCTCTGATTACCTGGTGGGTGGATGCTGGACCCAAGTCCCTCCCAGCCCAGAGACCTACATGCATGTAAGAACACACAGCCCAGCCTGTTGCTTCTCAGTCTCTTCCTATCTGCCACCCTGACTGGGCAACATCCTTTCCATGATGAGATACCTACTAAAAGTGCCTTTGTCGGTCCCCTCTGATAAACTAGATGCCCTCTGGGTCTTTTTTTCTTTGAGCTAGAATTGATGGTCATTTCCTGATCCAGCTAGACAATATGGTGCACTTGATAAGACACAGTGGGTGAGGTCTAATTGTTGTCCTTGTGCTTATCTGTCCAGCACTCAAGGTCAGTGAGGAGGTTGGAATAAGAACAATCCCTTGTCACCATGACAGGGTCAGTCCAGAGCTTTCCACCATCAGTAGCAACACTACTGCACACCCCTTGATTGCTTCAAAAGTCCCTTGTTCTGTGGGTTGGGTTCAAAATGCTGTCACATCAGCACTAGCATTTGTAGAACAACCTCTGCTAGACCTACCCTGGCCTCCTCTCAAGAGTTAGTGACCTGGGAACTCCTCAAACCTCTTTGCAAAGAGCTGCTTAGCCACAAAGAAATGAAAAAAAAAAGTGCTTTACTCCCTGGAAGCTTTCCAATCCTTGGAGAGGGCTCTTATACCTGTAGCCATGTCACAGAATAGGCATGGTTTTTCATAAGGGGTTGTCGTGCGTGGGGACAGAAGGATTCTGGGAGTGAGTTCTAGCCATCAGATATTACTATAAAGACCTTAAAGGGGGTAGAAATAATGAGTTTGCGGACTTAGCTGTTTTCACTTAGCTTTACCTAAAAAATGATATAAATGTCTTGTTGGGGACTAGGTTGTTGTGATTCACCAAGAGTTGTCATATACACCCTGTTTCAAAAGCTAGATTTCAGAACTACCAAATACAAGAAGATGCTGAACAAATTTTGATCTGCCTTCAGAAATACTTTGTGATCTCCACAAAGCTTTGGGGTTACCTTACCTTTGTAAATATTAATTCTTACTGGGTAGAAAAGGAGCAGAAGATAGAAAGGGAAATTGACTGAATAAACCTTTGACTCACCCTCCAAGTTGCTCTTTTGAATGAATCAATCCCTGATAAGAATGTGTTCCTCATCTATCTTTTCTCTTAACATTGAGTGGCAGGGAAATAATTCTAGCTTTTAGAGCTTGATGGCTGTTTAGAAACTGAAAAAAGGAGAGAAGATGGTTTTCTCCTGTCATGCTGTGTGATTCAAGTGAGTCTTGTGAAGAAAAGGATGGATGGATGAATGAATGGTTTGCCTTCTGTCTCTGGGAGCAGGATAGTCTGGAACATCATTGCTGTTCTGTACTGTATCCACAAGGTTATTTATGGACGTCAAATCCCACACTCTCACTAAACTGGAGACTGGGGATATTTTGTATATTCAGAAGAAATCTCAGATATGGGGAAAAAGTGAACTCTGCAGGTGGAGATGTGAGATTGGGAAGTATTCATTTGGAGTGACTTTTCTTGGCCAGGGGTCCTCTTTTCCTTTAGTGACATGGCTGTCTTCACAGGTCAGGCAGACCGGTGCTCATATCAGATGCTGTTGAGTACGCAGATGTGTTGAGGCTAAGCGAGATTCTGGACAAGATGTAAGCTCTGGGGATTTGAGCATCATAAATCTTGCAAGTTTCACCACCCCAGGATGGAGCCTGCGACTCATTTCTCTTAAAAGGAAGAAGCAGCCAAAGCTAGAGTCTGTTCTCCCATCCGCCTCGTTCTTACTCCCGCTGGGGTCTTGCTACATCCTGTTGCCAGAACGAATTGTTCCCTGGACTCTGGTGGTCCTTCCTTGGAAGGCAATGGCCTCCTCCAAGTCTCTTCAGATGAGAGGGGCAGGATGTGGGTGGGCATCTTAAATGCAGATTCTCAATGCTGTGGCCCCAGCCACCTCATCCCAGAATTAGCATTTGTGAATTTCTTTTCTGTGTGTGTAGGGGGACAGAGGGTGGTAACAGTAATGCTTACTTACTGAGGAAAACTTGGAAAGCACACAGAATTACAAAGAAGATCCACCTATAATGGATAATCACTGTTACACACATTGGTCCGTTTCCTCCAGGTAGTTTACAGAGGCTTGATTTTAAAGCATTATTGGAACCATAATATAAATAGCTTCCAGTGTTACTGTTCTCATACTAGGTTCTATCAGCATTGTTTTTCCAAGTCATAAAAGATTGAAAACATTTTTTGTATAGATGATTAACATTTCACTGTATGAATGTAACATCATTTATTAAATCGTTTCCCCTAGTAGACATTTGGGTGTTTTTTTTCCTTTGCACTGTTATACAAAATGTTACAACTGAGCACAGTGGAATGCAGGGATTGCATAGTTAATCCACATCTTATTTTCTTGACGAATATTACCATTTTGTTTCCCAAAGGGTTGTGCCACTTTATTTTGCACCATCGGAATGGCCTTTACCAATGAGGTGTCATCATTTTTTAAAAATCTATGCCGATGAGACGATGTGCTACGTTGCCTTTCTTATTAGTGATCCTTTTCCTTTGTTCGTTATCCATTGAATTTTTCTGTGAATTAACGTTTGCCCCAGACTATTCCAAATACAACCCCTTGGCTTACAGGGGCTCTCAAGCTTTCTTGGCTTTTGAAACAAACCATAGTAGAAGGACAAGATGTTCATTTTTGACTAGATGCTTAAGTAACACAAAAGTCTGAAAGTCCAAATAATTTCCTCTTGCCCTCTGATCTGTACACCTCTGTTTCCTAGAAGGTGTGGCATCATCCAACCTTTTGGAGGGGGTGCAGTGGCAGGTTGGATGTTGGAAATGTCATTTCAGTGAGAGTGGATGAAGGCCATGGAGTCCAAGGGTTTGACATGACTTTAATGGTTACCTGGGCATTGCTGTGTTGGCACTTTACATGCTCACATAGGCTATGGGTATATGGAAAGAACATAGGCCTCAAAGCGCCATCTCCCATAATTAGCTGCATGACTTTGGGCAAGTCACTTGGCCTCTTGGAGCCTCAGTCTCCTTTCGTTAGGTTTCATTTAGTTAGGTTGGGCATGCTGGCTCACAACTATAATCCTAGCACTCTAGGAGGCTGAGGCAGGTGGATTGCCTGAGCTCAGGAGTTCCAGACCAGCCTGAGTAAGAGTGAGATCCCATCTCTACTAAAAATAGAAAAATTAGTCAGGCGTGGTAGCAGGTGCCTATAATCCCAAAGTTGGGAGGCTGAGGAAGGAGGATCACTTGAGCCCAAGAGTTTGAGGTTGCTGTGAGCTATGACACCACAGCACTCTACCCAGGGCAACAGAGTGAGTGTTGCTGTTCTCGGGGCTGACTGGTTGGGAGACTCTGTCTCAAAAAAAAAAAAAAAAAAAAGTCATTTAGTTAGATTAACCAGTTGCCAACTTTTTGTTATCTCTCATTTCTCTTCCTCTCCTGCCCCCATTGGACCCTTATTTTTAAAGTTTTGATCCTTAGCATTTATTAATTGGTCTCTTGAGCACTCTTGTCACATGGCTTATTTCCTCTGGGCTTTATGAAATTCTGAAAATAGTTCAAGGACCCCACCCTATTATCAGAGGCCTGTGGGTATGTGGGGGCCCCTGAGATTAAAAGTGAGTGAGGAATAGGATGATAGTTTTCCAATCACCTGTGTTGAATTTTGTGTTTTCCACAGCCTTTAAGGCAAGCAGTGCAGGTATCATTTCCAGTCTCAGAAAATAGAGATTCTTTGAGGTTCAGAAACTTGCTCAAGGCCACACAAAGCAGTAATATCAGGGACCAGCTCTGGCTAGAGCTCCTTCCCTGGACAGGGCAGCTGCTTTGTCAATGCTCATACGTGCCCGTGGGCTTGTGGACTTCTCACCATCTGCACTTGCCCAGCACTGCGTCAGCACGAGCAGGCACTCTGAAGGGTGGCCCAGCGTCCTCATCTGTCCCTCTCACCCTCAGGTATGTGGCCATCTCCCGGGAGGAGAGGGAGCAGAACCTGCTGGCATTCCAACACAGTGAGCGCATCTACTTTCGGGCCTGCAGGGACATCCGGCCTGGGGAGCGGCTGCGAGTCTGGTACAGCGAGGACTACATGAAGCGCCTGCACAGCATGTCCCAGGAAACCATCCACCGCAACCTGGCCAGAGGTGAGCACCCACGTGCCAGGTGAGGGCCATGTCTGCCACCAAGCCCCAGGGGAGGCCAGGAAAGCTTCTCTGAGAGCTTCCTATGAGAACCAATGGGAAATCCAGTTTCCCAGCAATGAGAAGACCCAGAGCAATTCAGAGAAACAGATGGGTCGAGGTCTGGGCAGCAGCTCTAGGACAGGCAGTGGCCACCTTATGTGTTCTCCTCCCCTGGAAATGGTCTCAAAAAACTCTTACCACAGGTATTTTGAGCATCAGTGACAGACACAAGCCCCCTGAGCCAAGCAGATAAATGTAATGAAAATGTATCCCATTTTCCCAATTCAAATGGGTAGAGAGATGCTACAAATTGCCCCTGCCTCAGTAATCACAGCAGTAATGGGTAACATTTACTAAATACTTAGTATGTGTTAAGCGGGCTTTCTGCGTGTCCCCAGGTAGTCATCCCAACAGCTGCCACCCTGTCAGACTGTGCAAGGACTGGATGGAGTAGTAGACTTACCATATGTGGAACAAGGCCCACCTCAATTGTAGTAAGCCCGCACTTAGGAACCTTTTATACTCGTGAGCCGTGTAGATTATTGTACCCATCTTAAGATGTGCAAACTGAACATCAGCAATTCATCCAGGGATGCGTGGCTAGGAAGGGTAAAACTAGAGTTCTAACTCATATCTGTCTACTTTAAGGTCTAGTCTCTAACCTCTGTGGCTTTCCAGACAAACTGGTCTCCTCCCTGCCTCCTCCTGCTCTCATTACTGGCTGTCTTAATGATATGATGTGAAAGAAAAGTCTTTATCAGAAGAAGAAGGTTGGAAGGAGGTGGGAAGGAGGTCTTAGATATGGGGAGCCCAGTGGGCAGGGTGTCCATCTAGGCCCCTTTTAAATGAGTCATTTGAGAGTGGCTTTCAAGACTCCCCAGCCTCTAGCCCTTTACCTCTGTACTCCATCCTTGCCCCAGCCGGGGAAAACTGGTGAGTCCAGCTCCTTCTGGGGTAAAGCCACACATTCAAACACCCAGAGTCCCTCGAGCATCAGGAATGACAGCTGTGCCTAAGCCAAATCCTATCATGATCCTGACCAACCTACTTATTGGAATTAAATCTTCATTTGGGATATGAGTGGAGACAATGAGAAGGGACTAGGGGTAACCTGTCGAAATTAGCTATTGTCAAAAACGAAACAGAACAAACAAATTGTGCATATTAAATATAAAGCTGCTGCCTGACTTGGTAAAAGGTATCTGGTGATTGCTTAGCCAGTGAGAGACCTACTACACAAATTCATCTTCTCTTGTCTTCTCTGGATCTGGGGGTTGGGCACATTTCACTTGAAGGCATGCTTCCATAACAAGATTGCTATGGTTTCCATGTGACCTCTGGAGATGCCTCATGTCTGGCATACAGTAGGTGCTTGATAAATCTTTGTTAAATGGATAAAAGAAGAAATGAGTAAAGACCACCAAGAAGTTTCCAAAAGACTCATACCACCAGAAGAAGAGAAAATCAAGAGAAGTCATATCTGACAGAGAACACAGGTTTCATCCCTTGGCCACAGTTCTCTTGCATTCTTCTGGATTTGCAACACCCTTTTCTTCCCAGTGTCTTCTCCAGAGTGCCTAAAGCTGCATCATCCTCCGAGAGCCTTGAGACCCGCAGGCACTGCTCAGAGAGGGGAGTGAGTGCTCAGGAGTGGTTCAAAGAGGCGCATCAGACAGATCTGGAAGGAGACACACTGAGACGTGAATATCCAGGATGGAGGAGTGTCTGTCCTGGCCAGGCTGAGCAGTAGGAAATGGAAAGCCACAGCAGGGCAGTGCCAAAGCTGTGGTGGTCTTGGCCCAGAAACCCTTGGGGGAAGTCTGGGAGTTCAGTGGCTTTTAGATGTATGTTTCTATAGCCTGTAGCTTGAGCAGACTCTGGACGCTTTTAGTGTTGTCTCAGATTGGTGTGCCAGTCCTGCTCTGGAAGGGAGGTCTGCTATGCCCAATCAGTTAAGGTCTTACATAGAAGGAGGTTTCTTCATAATTGGAGTCCAGAGCAGACATTGATTGGAGCCAGATTGCTTCCTGAAGAGAGTATAAATTATTCCTTTGTGGTTTTATCTTTGATGCATTGAACATAGCTAAACTGGTATTAAAAAATTCATTTTATTTGATTGAGTGTTTTAAATGATTGATTTAACTTTGAGGGTTTTTTGTTTTTCTATATTATATGGAGGCTTTAGAATCAACTTCATAATGATTAGAGGTCTTTTTTGGCCCATAGATTTTTCTGGAAGCTTTAATCTAAGGAGATTTGAGCTACCTTGTTTTTATACAATGATGAAGAATCTCTGGTGATTTGCAGCCTCGACCTCCCAGTGTCCTCCACTGTTTGCTGCTTGATTGAGCCATGAGAAGGTGAAATGGTGGCCTTTGATTTTTTGAGATTCTTAGTGGGCAAGTGCCATAACTAATCTATAAGACACATGTTGTATTTTTTAAAGTTCTCTCCATCTCTCCCCGTTCTGTAGTTAGGCTGTCTAGAAATGCAGGCTGTAGGAAGCTGCCTGAGTTCCAGAAGTCTTGGAGATAAGATTGTTCCTTAAGCATTCGTGTGAGGACGCAAAAGGGGCATCCTGAGTAGATCACTCCCTTTTGCGCTGTTACCTATGAGAAACCTGGAGTCATACATGGGGCAGAACATGGTACCCCATGTCAGTCGTGGGAAGCCAAGCACAGAACGTCCGGATTATTGATGGACAGCCGTTAGCCTTTCACTCAGAGGCCTTTAGCAAATGTAGATCTCAGAAGCTTAATTACAATGTAAATTCAAGTCATTGTTTAGCATCGCATCACAAAGATTTCCACGTCCCACAGGCTGCTATCAGGACCTCATAAGGGATAAAGAAGTATCTCTGCCTTCTTAGCATCTCTATCCCCAGGGAGCAGTTTATGAAACCATGTTGGCCATTTTAAAGAATCAAACTAAAATAATTTATTCTTGGGGAGTCCATCAAAGTCTTTTAAATAATTCAAAATAATTCAAAATGAATTGAAGTATACATATACATTTCACATGAGAAAGAAAGAAAAAAGGAAACATCTTTGAATTGTTGGGTAAGGCAACACAGCTGTATTTTGGGACTGCTTTGGGTCACTGTGGCTACCTTGTCCTTTGTCTTGTCAGAGGCTGCCACCTTGGAGCCCTCAGCAACCTAGGTATCCCTGTCAGTGAGAACCACAGAAGTTTGGGACACACTTTCTCACCTATCCCTCGTCTTCTGATTGTTGGGAGCATCAGAAAGGACAGTTGCTAAAGCATGGACTTTCCCCTAAGTGTGTTGGCTCCAAAGCAGCCAGGGAGGAGGAAGGAGCAAGGTTCATGGTATTTCACGTGTACCTTTTACCAAGTCCAAGCAGCCATCTTGTCATTGCCAGGGCTGGGGAATCCATGCTCACTTGGCTCCAAGTATGTTTCCACCACCCATGTGACTGGGTGTGACGGCATCTTCATAGGATGTCAAGTCCCTTTGAAAGAACTTCTAATTACCATTCCATATAGATCTCTCTTAACTTACAAGTGTTAAGCTTATATACATGATGCTTCTTTGAAACTGTCTCTTTAAAAAAAGATTTTCCATTTTAGGGGGTTCTATGTTGCTAGCTCCTGTGATCCACCAAGTGATCCACTCGTTACACCTGCCCAACAAGGCCAGACTTAGAGGGATGTGTCAGGCAACTTCCTAGCAGGAGGCCTGCTTTGTTTTCTGTTGGTTTCTCCAATCGGGGATTTTCCCCACTTCCTTACACCCTGGTTTTCCTTCCTAGGAGAGAAGAGGTTGCAGAGGGAGAAGTGTGAGCAGGCTCTGGATAACCCAGAAGACCTGAGGGGTCCCCTTCAGCTCCCCGTGTTGAGACAGGGCAAAAGTCCCTACAAGCGTGGCTTTGATGAGGGGGATGTACACCCCCAGGCCAAAAAGAAGAAAATTGACCTCATTTTCAAAGACGTGCTGGAGGCCTCATTGGAATCTGCAAAGGTGGAAGCCCACCAGCTGGCACTGAGCACCTCATTGGTCATCAGGAAAGTCCCCAAGTACCAGGATGACACCTACAGTCGGTGTGCAACAACCATGACTCGTAGCATACAGAATGTCAGCCGGACCCAGGGGGAAGGGGACTGGAAGATCCCCCAGGGAGTTTCCAAGGAGCCAGGTCCATTGGAGGAAGAAGAAGAGGAGCCTTCATCATTCAAGGCTGACAGTCCCGCCGAAGCCTCCCTTGCCTCTGACCCTCATGAACTTCCTACCACCTCATTTTGCCCTAACTGTATTCGCTTAAAGAAGAAGGTCCGGGAACTCCAGGCAGAATTAGACATGCTCAAATCTGGGAAGCTTCCTGAGCCCCCCGTGTTACCTCCACAGGTACTGGAGCTCCCAGAGTTCTCAGACCCTGCAGGTAAGTTGGTAAGGACAAGATTATTGCCAGAGGGAAGAGCTCACAGTGGGCTGTGTGGAGGGTGGCCTAACACTGTCTGGTAAAGCCACCTGTGGGGAGATCGGAGGAGTGTGACGTGGAGGTGGCCCCCCTCTGTAGGTGGGAGCCTGCATCCTCAGCGCCTGTGACAGCTCTGGCAGGATGCTTCATGTGTCACCCTTGTATCCTCCTTGTCAATAAAGGAAGTTCCGCTCCAGAAGGGGTGTGTGATGTCTTCTTGACCCGTTGCCTTTCTGTGGTGGTCCTACTGATGTCTAACCCCAAAGCTTAAAACCAGTCTTTCTCTCTCCTCAGTCCCAAGCAGAGTGTCCTGTGGGGGAGACCTCACCACTTCCCAACCTCAAGTCTAGGACCACAGACTCGTTCTCCTCTTCTCAAATCTCTGTTCTGCCCAGTGTGGTCCCAGTTCCCCTACCTGGAGTTTTAGAAGGATGGAGAGCCAGGGGATGCAGGGTACTCACCTGCATGCCTTTGCCCTTGTCTGTTGGCTTTACGGGTCTTTTAGCATTGGCTGACAATGAGGGAGGTTTTCCCAGTCCCATCTGCAGCTGAGACTGTTTACATGACAGTTTCTCTTTTAACCATATCCCTTAGCTCAGAATGAGGCATGTCAGATATTCAAACCACACACCTAGACTAAAGAGCAGTTTGATCCCGAAATCATCTGAGGCCATATCCAAACTGCCTTCATTCACATTAGTCGAGCCCTCCAGGTCTAACTTTGAGTTATTTGATATCTTTTCCTCCCTCTGTCAGACTCATTCTTTTAACCTGTGCTTTCCAGCTCATGGGGAAAATTTGAATCCCTTGGGCACCTGCGCATGGAGGGTGAGGGCAGTTGGCCTGGAGCATGTGGAGGTGACAGAGGCCATGGTGGACAATCTGCTGAGAGGAAAAGTCACACGGGAGAACCAAAGGGCTTAGAAATAAATTCTGAGCTGGGATTCAGTCTGTGCCAGCTTCTACAGACTTCTGTCCTGGATGGTGCAGCACCAGCCCCTCAGGCAATGTTTCCTGCTCATTGTGGAGTAATCTTATGTTTTTCCATGAGGGGTGAATGTTTCTTTCTCATTTGTTTTGCAGCCTCAGAAAGCATGGTCTCTGGCCCTGCCATCATGGAAGACGATGACCAGGAAGTTGATTCAGCAGATGAGTCTGTCTCCAATGATATGATGACTGCCACCGATGAGCCCTCCAAGATGTCTTCAGCCACCGGACGCCGAATCCGGCGCTTTAAGCAGGAGTGGCTGAAGAAGTTCTGGTTCCTGCGGTACTCCCCGACCCTCAACGAGATGTGGTGCCATGTCTGCCGCCAGTACACGGTACAGTCCTCCCGCACTTCAGCCTTCATCATCGGCTCCAAGCAGTTTAAGATCCACACCATCAAGCTGCACAGCCAGAGCAACCTGCACAAGAAGTGCCTGCAGCTATACAAGCTACGCATGCACCCAGAGAAGACGGAGGAGATGTGTCGCAACATGACCCTGCTCTTCAACACCGCCTACCACCTGGCCCTTGAGGGCAGGCCCTACCTGGACTTCCGGCCCCTGGCAGAGCTGCTGAGGAAGTGCGAGCTCAAGGTGGTGGACCAGTATATGAACGAAGGGGACTGCCAAATCCTTATCCATCACATCGCACGGGCCCTGCGGGAAGACCTGGTCGAGCGCATCCGCCAGTCACCTTGCCTCAGCATCATCCTGGATGGGCAGAGCGATGACCTGCTGGCCGACACGGTGGCCGTCTATGTCCAGTACACCAGCAGTGATGGGCCCCCAGCCACAGAGTTCCTATCTCTGCAGGAGCTAGGCTTCTCCAGCACAGAGAGCTATCTCCAGGCACTTGACAGGGCCTTCTCAGCCTTAGGCATCCGGCTGCAGGATGAGAAGCCAACAGTTGGCTTGGGCGTAGATGGGGCCAACATCACAGCTAGCCTGCGTGCCAGCATGTTCATGACCATCCGTAAGACACTGCCCTGGCTGTTGTGCCTGCCCTTCATGGTACACCGGCCGCACCTGGAGATCTTGGATGCCATCAGTGGGAAGGAGCTGCCCTGCCTGGAGGAGCTAGAGAACAACCTGAAGCAGCTGCTGAGCTTCTACCGTTACTCACCACGCCTCCTGTGTGAGCTGCGGGCCACAGCCGCCACTCTCTGCGAGGAGACAGAGTTCCTGGGGGACATCCGGGCCGTGCGGTGGATCATCGGTGAGCAGAACGTACTCAACGCCCTCATCAAGGACTACCTGGAGGTGGTTGCCCACCTTAAGGACGTCAGCAGCCAGACCCAGCGGGCAGATGCCTCGGCCATCGCCCTCGCCCTGCTGCAGTTCCTCATGGACTACCAGTCCATCAAGCTCATCTACTTCCTGCTGGATGTGATCGCCGTGCTCTCACGCCTGGCCTACATCTTCCAGGGCAAGTACCTGCTGGTATCCCAGGTGGACGACAAGATCGAGGAGGCCATCCAGGAGATCAGCCGGCTGGCTGACTCCCCTGGGGAGTACCTGCAGGAGTTCGAGGAGAACTTCCGGGAAAGCTTCAATGGGATTTCGATGAAGAACCTCAGGGTGGCTGAAGCCAAGTTCCAGTCCATCAGGGAGAAGATCTGCCAGAAGACCCAAGTCATCCTGGCTCAGAGGTTTGATTCCCGCAGTCGGGTCTTTGTGAAGGCCTGCCAGGTGTTTGACCTGGCTGCCTGGCCCAGGAGCAGCGAGGAGCTCCTGAGCTATGGCAAGGAGGACATGGTGCAAATATTTGACCACTTGGAGGCCATCCCGACCTTTTCCCGGGACCTCTGCAGGGAGGGGCTGGACCCTCGAGGGAGTCTGTTGATGGAGTGGCGAGAACTCAAGGCTGATTACTACACCAAAAATGGCTTCAAAGACCTGATCAGTCACATTTGCAAATATAAGCAGAGGTTTCCACTTTTGAACAAGATCATCCAGGTTCTCAAAGTCCTCCCCACTTCCACTGCTTGCTGCGAGAAAGGCCGCAACGCCCTCCAGCGAGTTCGCAAAAACCATCGCTCCCGCCTGACCCTGGAGCAGCTCAGCGACCTGTTGACAATCGCTGTAAATGGACCTCCGATCGCCAACTTTGATGCCAAGCGAGCCCTGGACAGTTGGTTTGAGGAGAAGTCTGGCAACAGTTACACCCTGTCTGCTGAGGTCCTCAGCAGGGTGTCTGCACTGGAGCAGAAGCCAGTGCTACAGACTGTGGACCACGGGGCAGAGTTTTACCCCGACATTTAGAGGGCCAGCACTGCAAACAAAGTTCACGAAGCTGTTGAATATTTTTTTAATCTATACTCATAAGCTTTGATATATTATATAAATATATATTATATTATATTATATATATAAACCCACACTGAAATTTTTTTAAAAACCAACATGACATGTCCACCAGAAGCCACTGGGAGCTTTCAGAAAGGAATAATGTCAGAAACTGACTTGTCTACAAAACTCGGCAGCTGCGACGTATGTGGCAACTCATTTTCACTCACGGAAGCGTGTGCTGGGGCCACCTGTGCGCCCACCTAACAGTCTACCAACAGCATAAGCTAAAATGACGGGTCTCTGTCATCACCTTTAGGTAGCTCGTTCGTTTATGTTTTCATTTGGGGATTGAGGGGCCTTGGGTCTGGGTTTGGGTTTATGTTCTTGCCTTTTATTTGTGTGTGTGGTTTTATGAGGGGGAGGTCTCATAGACGATCTTGCCCAGCTGGATCTGATCTCTGGTTTCAGACAGGGTGGGCTACGTATCTGGATTGGGGTGATCTTTCTCCCTCATCCTGACTTCAGCTTGAGAGAGTCTTATTCATTTCCTGTTGAGGCTTCCTTCACTGTTCTAGAAACAAAAGTGTCAGTCAAATTGTGATACCACCATTCCTCACCTCTGTTGCCTCTCCGCCTTGTCTCAGATCGTGGATTTCCTCCTTCTAGCCCCTGGATACTCAGATATACCTGTTATCCTGAAGGCAACACTGCCTTCCAGCTGAGCGTGAAATTCATGGGAAGAAAGAAGGAGTGAGCTTTTTGCATTCCTATTTTTATGTGGTGGAAGATAAAATAATCTAATGCCATTCAGATCCAGGACTGTTGGGGAGACAAGAGCCAAGAAGTCCAGACCACAATAGGGCAGTGATTTTTGGCTAAAAGCAAGTAAAATGAAAGGTATATATTCAATTTACATGAATTATTTATACTTTGTCTTTATAATAATATTATGTGTTAGAGATTCTTTTTTTTCCTTAAATAATCGAGAAATACCTGCTATAGTTCAGTGGCAGGAGATATCAATGCAAGTTGTGTAAGCGAGAGTCTCTAGAGATGTGGTCCTTCTTTTGCAACCAGGCTGATAACATGCTCCACAGCCTGGTGGGAAGGTCATGGGAAACCAGGGAATGTGTCTATGCCTGTGAACTCTTCCTTTTTTGAACAGGGTAGAGATGTCCTTAGGAAAAGGAAAAAACAAGAAGACAGGACTCTCAAGGCATCAGCCTACACACATACACACACACACACACAAACACACACACAACCACGATATAAGCTTTAGAAATAGCCACTTGCCTACTCCCTGGGGCAAGTAGTGGTTTAAGCTAGAGGAGTCTGTTCAATGCTCTTTGTTCATTTAACTACCAGTATACCTCGCAGGGGAGTTTTAAAAAATGTGCGTGAGCTGTTTAAAACTTCTGTTGGTGTTTCTACATCTGATTTATGCATATTTTATATGCAGAGATCCTATTGCGTGCATGCAGGTCATATCTAGGGGAGGGAGGAAGGTCTGAATTATGTACGTGTGGTCAGTTCTGCTGAGAGCTGCCCCTCTCTGTTAGCAGAGGGTGGTGCGATCTGGCCACAGGCAAGACCCCAATGTCCTCAACCTGCATGGCTCAGACATTGTAAAACTGTGGTGGCTTCCTTCCTTCTTGGTTTATCTTATTCTCTGAGGCCTCATGCCACCGTCGAGAACCATAGTGGAACTGTCATCAACACTGAACATGTTATTATTGCCCCTTCCTGGTCCTGCAGTCCCTTCATCCTCCTCAAATCCCTTCCCTCTCGCCCCCATGGTCTTGGTGCTAAGATAACTTTAGAATCATTGCTGCTAGTCAATAGCTTTTCATTATATAAATATATTATATATATTATATATTATTTTTTGAAACGTTTTTGTTTGTTTTCAACAGTG